AATATTATATTCCATTTCTGACATCCCTTTTAAGCAAATGGGACAATGAAACAGTGAATGTCCACAGCTGTGTGTATAGTGTGTGTTCTTACAGAATGTGGTACATCTCGCTCTTTAATCTGCAGGGCCAGAATCCCTGTCTTCTCCTTCTCTGCATCTGGAGGATCAATACCTGGAAACACAACAATACAGACATCATGTTTTACCCACACATCCCTTTTTATGTTGATATTAGATAAACTGTGTGTGTGTGATCTTACTTTGGTGTCCTTGTCTCCAGGGCCTCTGGCCATAGAAGTCCAGTCCTCCACTCTGGGTGTCCAATGGTTCGGGGGAGGGATAAGTCGCTCCAGCCTACAACAATCAACAGATAAAATTTAACCACTAAGTGGTGATTTATGGGTAAGATAGTACATACAAGCTTTCTTGCTGAACTGTCATTCAGGTGAAAGGTGGTAATATGTATTTGTGTTCAATGTTTCAAGAGTTAATACAAAGTAAATACTTTGCAGCAGCATGTGTACAACAGAAAATGTAGTCAAGCGTGGTCATTAGGATCAGATTTAAACCCCTATGACGTACGAACATGTTATACGAACCACTGCTTTTCCACTCTAACCCGGCCCTTAAAGGGGAAGTACCAGCAGCTGTAGTATCATCACCTGACAAAGCTGCTGCGCCTGCTGTTTCCGGTCCTGGCTGTAACAGGCTGCTTGCTGGTAGTAGAAACCAGGGTTCTGGGTCTGGATGGCAGTCAGACCCAACTTTATGGCTTCATCGAACAGCTCCCCAAACGACTGGAACCTGTTGGGAAGCAGAGATGAACAGACAGTGGGGGTTTGGGGTCATAATATATTGGTATTATACAGTAGATATACAGGTCTGGCGTATATGAACATTGTGTACAGATGAAAATGAAGGTGAATAACAATAGTTAAAATGACATTCAGGTTGTTCAATAGAAAGAAACATTTCTAAAGCAGTTAATGATTTTGTTTTACTTTACTTTTTATAAAACTGTTCCCCTAAGGATCTTGTGTCTCAGGTTCAATCTAATTTGTACTAAAATGATACAAATACAACTGAGGAGAAACTCCACTACTACACTACAAGTAAATAAACCTTTTTATTTTACTTTGTGTATAATTTGTAATCATTTTATATATTCTTAAACAAGGTTTAATTACTTGAACATGTTACATGCAGAGTGTGATAGATCATGACTACAAAGTGTATATGTGTGATTTTATTCCTATACAGAGTGTATCTCACTGTTTAGACATCCATGCGGCGTGCTCGAAGGCCAGTTCAGCACTGCCAATCTTCTTCTTGCACAGGTCAATGTGCTTCCTGAACTGGGCTATAGCATCTAGAGGTGTGTTGTGCTGGAAACACAGGCGACAGATCTATAAAGGGACAGAGACATCAAGAGGAAACAGAAGAGAGAATTGAAAGGCAGTAAATGGTAAGTAACTGCAGACTTCCGTCCGGTTCAGGTTGCCTCCTAAATGCTGATGATTCAAATCATCAGTCCAGAACTTCGGATTGAATCATCTTTTGTCAGTCAAATCACTGCACCTTTTTTTTTTTTTTAGCTGCGTAACGGAAATACACAGAAGTGATGGAAACAGAGGACAACATGACACAGAGTGCCTCAGAGCAGTGCAACTCATTTCTGCTGGCTGCTCTCAGCTCCGGCAGCGACCTTGGCTAAGCTACAACCGCTCCATGGTGTGCTAGGATTTTAGAACTGAACTAAGATAAAAGGCAATAATAACAATAAAAGGGTGCAGAACTCACAGCACTGTGGAGGAGTGAATACAAGGTTTCTGCAGGTGTCAACACATTCAATTTAAGACTTTTTAAGACCATTACAAATGCAATTTAAGACCTATTTTACACATATTTTCTATAAAGGCAAAATAGTACGAAGGATATAAAGGAAAATTAGTTTTATTCTTGCTTTAATTTTGTAGTTGTTACAATATAATCACTACAAATTGTTCCCAAAAACACATTTAAATAAGACTGAAAAATGCAACTTTATGAAGAATATCAAATTTCAAATATTCAGTCTAAAGTGGTGACTCTGAGTCAAGAAGGAAAATTCGTATTCAGGTATCTCTCTAAGGAGCTGCAATCTATTTCCAATATGAGTTTTGTCTGGCTACAGAGCCCTTCCTCTCTAAATCAATCCATCCATTAGTGTTTGAGACACCTATTCACCAACCAAAGTGTGGATCAGAAAAACATTTCTATCTAAAATCGACAGACAGACAGAAGATGTACCTTATAGTTGATGAATCCAGCCATAGTTTTGATCTCCAACATGTTGGTCTCGTGGGCTCTGAGCTCATGGACAAGACTGTATGCAGTTCTGTAGTACCTACGGACACAAACAGTTTTACTAACGGAGAGACAGAATGCAGCATAGAGGGTCTACGAAGCCACCAATTCATTCAGTTTTTTGTTTTAATTTGAAAGAAACAAGAAGAAAATAAAACTTTGTGCTGCCAAAAAACATGACCCAACTGTAAATGGATGCATTTCATGACACAGCAGTACTGGTCATTTGGTCTTTTAGATATACTGAACAAAAGCATCCGTATTTCCAGACATTTTTAAAGACTTTCTAATTTTCTATTGAATAAATCAGGGGTGCCAAAACTTCTTCATTTCAAGGACCCCCATAATAGACCTAATAGAGGTTTTTGAGGAATATTTGTTTGTTCATTTTTAGGTTTGAAGATAATCTTCACAGTCAATTAATGATCAATGATTAATGATCCCCTTGTTGTTTCATCTGCCAGAAGGTTTGATAAAAGTAAATATTCTATTATATTCTATTTCTCCTTTTGCTGGGGACCCCCTACAATCTACTCAAGGACCCCTGTTAGTCCCTGGACCCCAGGTTTAAAACTGCTGCAATAGTTTCCAGCATTTGTTGTAAAAGACTGCTGCTGAAAACTTTACGTAACATGCAGAATACATACAGTCCTAACAGGAGCTGATCACAGCAAACAATCAGACTCAGACTTACTTGAGAGCATTCTGGGTGTCCTGTTTCAGCTCACTGAAGAAGGCAATTTTAAACTGGTGTCTGACAAACAGCAGCTGGAAACATCAGGAGGTGGAGAGGAGACGAAGAGGAGGAGAGGAAGACACCGGTGTGAAGAGAGGGACATTTAAAAGTACATAGAAACTGTGGTGGATTGTGTGTTTGTGCCTTCGTACCTGATGTGTTGTCTTGTTGAGGAACTCTTTATGTGATTTGACTCTGCGGATCTCAGTATAGTAGTATGTCTGAGCATGCTCATAGAAAGCATTCTCCAACCTACACACGGAAGAATACAACTTAATAAACATACAATGTTTGGAAGAGATTTTAGTGGATTTCTCTGCTGTAGCTCTTAGACATGCATTTGATTATGTTACTAGCCTGGCGTGGCTACACGTTTTGACACATCAATTAGATGCCTTATCTGGATTTTATAATAACAACAAATGTTTACACTTTTGTCAATATGGACAAATCAGTAAATTCTCCACAATTCAATCGAAACCATCAGCACCAAAGTATCAAATGATCGAATGAATGATTCGTAATTGATATGTTATTCTAATATTGGTAACACTTCACATTAAGGTACTAGTCAACTAGTTGCTTATTAACGTTCATATTAGTAGCACATTGGCTCTTTATTAGTCATTACATAGCACTAATTACTGTCTTATTCTGCATGACCATATTCTACAACTACAAGGCCATTAAGGGTTTTCCCTTAATTTACTCCTTAACGCTTCTTATTGGCAGTAGGTAAAGAAGCTGTACATGAATTATGATATTATTACAACAACACAATATATATTACAACAAACTATATTCAGCGTTAGCTAAAAATGCATGTTGCATTAACATGCATTTTTCCTTATCCGGTTAATGTCTCCTAGATTCAGGTCACATTTTAATACCAGGTGTAAATACGGTGTTAGATTCAACTGGAGAGCCAAATGGTAGATGCCTGACTGAACTGACTATTGGCAGGTCATAAACTGCAATATATCTATGTAAAAATATCCATCTATATGGCGTTAGTGAATAGGTAACTACCTTATAATGTAGCCCACTAAGTGGTCGGTGTGTGGCAGTACAAAGAGACTCTTCCCAGACAGATCGCAGGCGTTACAAAGAGTTGCTGCTCTCTCTGACGCTACCAGGTCCTCTCCTGTACAAACAAGAAAATGAGTGATGTTTTGGCTGTAAAAAGAAACAGGAAACTGACAGAGCAGATTGTTACGGCTGTGTTAAACAGTAGATGTAAAGTCGCTGCTTAATGTCTAAAGCTAGCTTGGCCTTAGGCCCCTTGGTTGACAGTTTTACATTCACCAGAAGTTTTACAGGATTTTAGATCATTAAAAAAACTGCTCAAATGGTTTTTTAGGTTTTCCAGTACACGACCCTGGTTTATAAAATGTACAATGTTGTACTTTTGCCAGTCAGAAAGAGAGAATGTCTGGGATATACTGTAGATACACAGTGGAACTTAGATGGATGGAATATGACACATGTGCATAAACAGATGATTCAGTAGAGATCTTTACCTGGAGGTAGAGGAGTTTTCTTCTGGATTAAAACCACAGCCACCTTGGTGTTCCTCCCCTGCAGACTGGTCCTACAGGCGAACAAACACAACACAGATGACTGCAGGTGAAATGTACTGCCACTCATACAGAGCTCATTTATAGTGTCAGCTATATACAGCTCAGTCTGCTCCCTGTTATTTTCTTGTATATTTTTTTCAGGAAAAAGTAAGAAACAATTTTTACTATGACAGTGTTCTCACAGAGCTGCATGGCCTAGCCTTTATTAAAGTTATTATTTTGTGTAGTAAGTGTAATACTGAGAATCCATGTGACAAATTGCATCTGATGACAAAAACCAGCAAGGAGAAACTGAAACCTGATCGTTTCCTGTGTTTGTAGAACTCGCCCACATAAATACAACACATAAAAACAGTTTAGTAAAATGTACCAATCAAGCCTGATAAAGCAGAATCTGAGGCATCTACCTGCTCTGTTAGTCACCCAATAAACCCTTTTCTGAAGGCAAATTAAATGTGTACCTACCTAACAATCTCCACTTTAGTTGCACATTCAGACTGTTTCTCCTTCCACTGTGGGTCGTCCCAGTCCAGTTCGTAGAAGAGAACAACCAGAGCTGGTACCAGGTTCAGATGTTTATTCATCCAACCTGTTTTCAGGATGCCTTTAGGGATGTACCACTCATAGGACGTCCGCTAGACAGGCAGGAAGAGAATGCAGAGTGAGCAAATGCAAACTGAAACTGTGTTCCAATTCCATGCCATAGGTTGGGTTTGTTAGGACGTCATATTGTCTCTGTTTGTGGATGGACTTCTAGATCGCTCTGTCCCCGTCTCACCTTAGTGCGACATTTGGGGTACTCGTGGTCCCCTGGCAGCACTTTAAAAGAGATAGGAACTCTGTCAGCTCGACGGTTGGCGCAGAAGGCATCCCAAATGGCCCGGTGCACAGCATTGTACACCACATCCAGACCAGTCAGAGCCACAAAGGCCATGGGCCGACAGCATAGCTCTGGAGGAAGCTCCCACTGGGAACCTGCCATCACGATGGTTTAACAGTGGACACACCTACAAGACAGAGCAACATCAACATAAAAAAGTAGTAGTAGAAGTACAAAACACCCTTGGTTACTTCAAATGAGCAAAAATGCTTTGAGATTGTTCTGTTAATATTCTGCCGTGCTGCTGTTTCTACATTAGGGGAGAAACTGAACATTTAAATGTACTAAAATGCATTTCTTGACATAATATTCATTTGGTGCAGGCAATCAGCTGGGTATCGTTAGAGAATTACAACACAAAATGCTCCTGTAGTCACCATGCATGAACAGAGCCTTTGTGGAGAACAACTTGCAGGTCACAAGACTTGCAGGTTAGCACTAGCTGCTAACAGTGACAGATCAGTTGTTTACATCCTACAGACTGGAGCTCGACTGTTTGAATCCCGCCGGGGTTCACACAGTTGTTGACAATGACACCTAACTCAGTCACATAAAACCGACTGTAAACTCACAAACGGGTGACACATTATATCTTTTTTTTTTGCTAGCAAACTAGCGTTAAATACGTGAATGCAGAAATCGTTAAGACGAAAGCGGAAGTGAGATACCCTGACTCGGCTAACGCTCCTCGCACAGCTGTTAGCATCCTCAATAACCCGTGATAAACAGATGTGAACTCACAGATCAATTAAACAACAACATACCTTAGTTGCATCACTTCAGCTGAACTGGTAAAGGTGATAAATGCAGCTAGCTTGGTTGAGTTTGCCAGCTAGCTGCACTCACAGGCTGTCAGTGGGATGTCTATCAAGGTTAACAGTGAGCTAAGCTAACGTTAGTGGGCGAGGTTGCAAAATGTAGCTGTCACTAAACGCCACTGGGTTTTTACTTTTAGGCTGCCTGGCTTCGTTTTAGCCCGGTCCCAGCGCTGGTCACCATCCGACAGCCATTCGCCGTTGTGTCAAATTCGACAGAAGCCAAATAGAGAAGCTAATTTAGCAGCAAACTGGCTACTTAGCTTCCTGGGGCAGAAGTTGAATAACACTTCCGGTTCGACTTTTCAAAATGAAAGTTCGACGTCACAAACTACATTATTTGCGATTAAACATGTTTTTAACGAGCAAAGAAAATTATGATAAATGTATCTTAATGATAATGGTAACGATAATGATAACACTATTACTAATAACCCTGTGTCCTTATGCCGCATTCTTAAAAAATAACAAGCAATCTTTTATCTGAGTATGTCAACATGATGTACTACAGTAAACAAAGCCACCTAGATGTCGCTGGATGAGCTTTTATTCAGCCTTTGACACCTGTTGTGAAGCTGGAAGTAAAGAAATATTATAGGCAATGATAAGGTGAGGAAAAATCAACTGATATGATACTTGTATATGATAACAGTATAATAATGGTATAGGCCAATATTACATTTGCCAAAAAAAAGACTGTAAGACATTAGCTGACATTAGTAAAGCCTCAGAGGTAAAGTACACAACATGTTCTGTTGATTCCTGTGTGAGCCGAACACATCACATTATTACTAAATATTGACAACATGGGATCTCTGCAGTCCTGCAGCTTAGAAACAGTGTCTCAGCAGACAGTAAGATGAGCTCTGGAGCAATGAGA